TGTGTGTGTGTGTGTGTGTGTGTGTGTGTGTGTGTGTGTGTGTGTGTAAACTTCCTCAGAGGTCCGTAGGTGATTCCAAATTCAGCCGTTTTGACAGTGGAGCTCAGCTGGCACAGTAAGAAGTGGCAGGAAACTTCCCAATGCAGACTTTGGCCCCATAAGAATTCAGACTGTGTAAACCAGGTGGTAGTGGTGGGTGGTGGCTGTTTGGGAGGGGCAGACCACATAGAATGGGGAAAGCATATAGTGTTTGTCTTACCTTCAAGATGGATGCTAGCCTCATTCCTCCAGGTACAGGCATGGAGCCTGTTCCTTTGGCAAGTATATGGAAAATGTACAGCAGTTTGATGAATGAAGCTAACACATGGTACTGTGTCCTTAGCTCATTAGCCACATTACTGCTAGGTTCACACTGGCCCATGTGTGTGCTTCATCTATCCACTTTTAAGTACTCTAATTGAGTCATTTTTCAGTATATCATATGTAAAGTATTTGTTACATATGTATTTTATTTATGAAACATTTTAAGTTTTTTATGTTTTAATAAAGTACATTTGAAATATTGCTATATTTTTTATTTACCTTATTAAAATTCATTTTGTTTTCAGACTCTTGGATACTAAACTGATGGCCAGCACACAGCCTTTTAAGGTATTATTTCAATCTGAACTATCAAAATTCAAAAATAATTTGAATTTTTTTGTTTGTTTAAGACAGAATCTTAGTATGGTGAGACTGGCCTTGAATTCACCCTGTAGTTGAATTCTTGTTCCCTCTGCCTCTACTTCCCATGTGCTAGGACGCAAGCATGTGCCACCATGCTCTTTTTGAAACTTTTTTGCATTTCCACTAATAACTTTGGAATTCTGGTTTTTAAAGTGTTATTTCAGACACAATAAAAAATAAGAAAGGAAAAAGAGAGAAATTGGAAAAGTCCAGAAATAAATATATCAAAATATGAACAGTTATCTTTAGTTTTCCTCTTTTTGAGTATAAGTTTTTAAATGTTAAAATATATAATTTTTGTTTTTTTATTTATTTTTGTTTTTTTGGTACAGGCTTACTCTTTAGCCTGAGTTAACTCTATAGTCCTTCCCCTGTCAGCTTCCTCAGTGTTGGGGTGACAAGTGTGTGCCACCACACAGTTGTGACTTATATATAATTATATAAAATATGTAAACACACACATACATACATACATGTTTTTGAGAAAGGGTTTTTTCCATGTTACAGTCCTGTCTGTCTTGGAACTTGTTTTGTAGACCATGCTGCCCTCGAACTCATAGAGATCCTTCTGACTCTGCCTCCCAATTGTTGGAATTAAAAGCTTATAGTCTGTTTTTTAATTGGTTTTACATGCACCAATTTGTCCTTTCTCTACCTATCTCTTTATTTTACATATTTGGACATATTTTCTAATAAAGATAATTTAAGTTAATGTGTGATCATTTACAGCCTTGTGAAGGACCTTCTGCAGCCTCTGGAGCAGTATGCCGGGACAGTGCCTTCCAGCTCTGTGTCCCTGCCAGCAATCCTGGAAATTAAGAACTTGCTGTAGCCTTGAGCAGTGCACTAGGGTAGTACTGCCGAAGTTGTGTCATTCTCCCATGCCGCCACTCCCCCAGCTAACCTGGAAGCTTGCTTTCTCTTCCCCTTCCACAGTTTTTTCCTAGTTTTGCTTTAGTAAAAACCAAGTTGGCCTCCCAAGTAGCAGATTTGAGGTGAGCACCAGTGGGCCTGCACATGTTTGTAGGTTTTAACATGGTGTCAGTGTTCCTGTCAGTGCAGAGCCATGAACTTGCTGGTGTGCTTTTCTTTCATGTGGAATAAGCAGTGACTTCTGTTCCTCTAGGACACAAGAGGGCAGTATGGGACGCTCTCTCTCACTCTCAGATGAGATCTCCTAACTCTCCACCTTCTGCCTTGCAGGATATCATTAACAACACATCCCTTGCAGAGCTGGAAAAGCGCTTAAAAGAGACGCCCTTTAACCCTCCTAAAGTTGGTAAGAATATTAATCCTGAAAACCTTCAAACTCTGGAAATTACCAATATGTTCTGTGCAAAAAATGTGATCTGGCTCTGAAATTATATTGTGTTATTTGTAGGGTGTGGCTGATTCAGGTTCACGCCTGTGGCTGTTTTCTGAATAAAGATGGTATCCTAATTCCACATCTAGCTCTAGCTACATCATGTTAATAGAGCTGGGTAGGGATTTCACTGAGAAGTTTCAAGACTTTTATTTCCTAATGCTTGAAGTTCTCTGGTACAGAAGAATTGTCTGTATTCTGTCAATCATGTTTTAAATAAACACTGATTGGCCAGGCAGGAAGTATAGGTAGGTAAACCAGACAGGAAGTAGAACAGGAGAATGCTGGGAAGGAGGAAGCCCAGTCCTCACCAGTTCTGCCCAGACCACTGAAGAGGCAAGATGTAAGCTGCCTCGCAGAGAAAGGTACTGAGCCATGTGGCTAACATAGATAAGAATAATGGTTTAATATAAGCTACAAGAGTTAGCAAGAAGCTTGAGCTAATGGGCCAATCAGTTTTATAACTTATGGAAATCTCTGTGTGATTTTCTTTGGGGTTGCCGACTGTGGGGAACCGGGCAGGACAGAAACACCAACAAGCCAGCCCCTCATGTTACAATTCTTCTAAAACTTGATGTGTCCTTTCAGATGGTGTGTGTTTGAGCAGAGACAGAGTCAGTAAGTAATCATCAGAAATGCAACAAAAACACCTCCTGTCTCAGAAAACTTAAGAGCTGGTATGTTGTGAGACAAGAGCATATCTCCATGTCCTCAGAGATAGTCTGGGCCAGAGAAACAGTATCATTAAGGAAAGCCAGGGGTCAGGAGGAGCACTTGGTATCAGATGGGTTGTGTGTGTATGTGTGGCCCCCACCCCTGTGCTCTGGGACACTGTGTCCTTGGTCCTGTTACCCGCATTGTGCTGCTGCCGCCACAGCATTCCATTAGCTGTGGCTAGAAAACCGCTGAAGTCGATGATAAAAGTGCTGATGATTCAGAAATTAGTGATGGAAGGTATTAGAGTGGACAGAGTCATAGTATTTCCTTCCCATGTGGGTAATAGTCCAAGAAAGGAAGTACAATGATGCGGGGTGGATAGGGGAAAGAAACCCATGCTCTTTGTATAACAGTGTAGTAGAATAATTGGTCTGGGGAGTAATGAGCTTCAGCAGGTGATGTTGAACATTTTACTTAAGTGCTACAGTGTTAAAAGGCTCTCTGTGGAAGTGTCAGGCCCAATATTTAGTTCATAAGGAAGTTAAGAAGTTCTTGCATAAAGAGTATTTTATTGGTATGAAAACGGCCCCAGCCATTCTACGAGCAGTTTCCACTCATGTTCTGATGTCCTTTCTAACGTTCATCTCCAGATTGATCTAGGAAATTATCACTTACAGCTAAGGGTTGGATCCTGTCCTGTTGTTTTCATATTCCTTTGGTCGGAAATTTACTCAAAAGTTGATTTGTCTCTTACATTCTCTCAGCACCTGTGTGTATCAGTGGAATCAGTATTATCTTATAAAATGATTTTTGTAGTGCAGTAGCCCCGTGAACTAAGGCTGGTGTTACAGCAGTTCTAATCTATTTTGGGTGTGGAGTATGCTGTTGTCTTTAAATTGCTAAGCTTGGGAACAGTCCAGGGCCCCTCCAGTATTCAACTAAACTATCTGGTTTTATGGGGACTACTTGGGATACTAATGGTTATGACCATGTGACATGTGCCAAGCACTAGATGAAATCTTTAGCAGTACCATGACATTGGATGTTCCCCAAAAACCTTATAAGGGAAGGTTGATTATCATCTTCTTACAAAACTGGGGGCTCAGAGGTGAAGTGCCTTGCCCCAGGGTAACATTGCTTATGAGTGATAGATAGAGCAGAGATTCAGAGAGACACTGTATGACCTCTCAATCCTACTGGGATTTTATTAGTTTAGTGTTGGTTTATTTATTTTTGAAGACTGGGTCTTACTTTGTAGCCAGGGTTGGGCTAGAACTCACTATTTAGCCTAAGCTAGCCTCAAACTTGCTGTGGTTCTTCTGCCTCAGCTTCTCAAGTTCTCGGCTTGGAGTTCTGCTTAATCTGCTGTGTCCTGCAAGTGTGGTAAGAGTAGCACAGTGGGGATTGTCAGAAGCACAGATTTCAGATGACTCTAGCCAGTGTAACTGAGGAGGCCTACAGCTGAACCTTGGTAAGGAAACAGGCCTTTTTCTGGTCTGAACTGAAGTGCTTGTTTTCAGGGACTTTGTTATTTTGTATTGTAAGGTCTTATGTGGACAGAACTGAGAAATAAGACAAGTTTCCTTGTGCCTTACAGCCACATCTGCAAATGCAGAACACAAGAATGCAGTTTGGATTTGGCAGGACACCATGCTTGCTAGTTTGTTTGTTTGTTTGTTTGTTTGTTTGTTTCTCTCTGCTTATTAATATTATTTGATTTTTTTTGAGTCAGGGTCTCTCTATGTAACTTTGGAGTCTGTCTTGTAACTCACTCTGTAGAGCAGGCTGGCTTTGAACTCACAGAGATCCACCTTCCTCTGCCTCCTGAGTGCTGGGATCAAAGGCACCACCACCACACGACACTTACTAGTTTTCATGTTTGCTAGTATACTGGGGAATATTGATGATTCCTTTTTTCTCTTTAGAAAGCGCAGAAGGCTTTCCAAGCTACAACACAGCTTCTGAGCAGCTCCATGAGGCAGGGTATGATGCTTACATCACAGGACTCTGCTTCATCTCCATGGCAAATTACCTAGGTACTTGAGATATGTTTCTGTTAAACAGAGTGGGTCTTGCCTGTTTCGTGTGACAAGTTTCCAAAGACTAGGCCTAGATAACAGACCTGTGTTTCTCATGGCTCTGGAGAGTAGTAAGCCCGACCAGACACCAGCTTCCCAACAGTTGACACTCCCTGGTGTTTCCTCACATGGCGGAGTGCCATATAGAGGAAGCACCCATACTTCTTGTGAGGGAACCAGTTCCTCTACTTGCCTCCCAAATAGCGCATTTATGGATACCATTGTTTGGGATTCGACTTCCAAGTGGGAGTGGGGAAGGGACGACAGACTGTCTGTGCGTCACAACCACTGTCCTGGGATCTGATCAACTTTATAGAAGCAGGAAGGTTTTGAGAGGGGACTGGAGGAGATGAGGAGGGGACACGGGAAGGGACTGCTGACACTTGCCTGTGTAGGTGTGTGGACCGTAAGAGTAACTGTTTTCCTTACTGAATGTAGAACACTGAGCTTCTGCCCTTTGACCATGCACTATGTATAACACCATGCTTCTCTTCACTAGGTTCTTTACTTGGGCCTCCAAAAATGTGTGTGTCTGCCAAATCAAAACTCATTGAACCCTTTTTTAACAAGTAAGTAATCAGAGGGTTACAACTCTGCTTCTCACATTCTGAACAAGCTCCATGTCTTGGGATACACTAGGGTACATTCTTATTAAATATTTCTCATGTTTAGTAGTACAGATAGTTTTTGAAAGTAGAAATTGACCTTTTGGGAAATAATTTCTTAAATATACTGGCTTAAAGAAACTAAAGAGGCTGGGCATGGCATGCCTTTAATCCCAGCACTTGGGAGGCAGGGGCAGGTAGATCTCTGAGTTCTAGGCCAGCCTGGTCCACAGGGTGAGTTTCAGGCCACCCAGGGCTACACAGGGAAACCCTTTCTAAAAAAAAACAAAAAAAAAACCCCCAAACAAAAAAACTAAAGAAAACATTACTGTGGCTGGAGAGGTGGCTCAGCGGTTAAGAGCATTGCCTGCTCTTCCAAAGGTCCTGAATTCAGTTCCCAGCAACCGTTCTGGTGCCCTCTTCTGGCCTGCAGGCATACACGCAGACAGAATATTGTATATATAATAAATAAAAAAAATTTTAAAAAAGAAAACATTACTAATGGTAGTGTATCTCTTTCAAGAAAAAAAAAGATGGTGGTTTTTAGCATTTAATACCATCAAAGGATACTTGTGTTTATAGCTAAACCTACCCTCTAGTGAACTTTGCATATAACATTGTTATTTATTTGTATTTGTCTTGTTAACGGATTACATGCTATTTCTAAGGAAATGTCTGATAAATGGGTATGCTGCTCTATGAAGTCTTGATTATCATTGCATGCTCAGTGGCTCTCTGTTTATCTCTTTTTCATTTTATGGTGTTGGGGATTGAACCCATGGTCCCATGCATGCCAGGCAAATGCTCTGCTGTTGAGCTCATCTAGGGATGGAAAAACTTTTTCTACATTATGCATTGATTTCTGAAGAAGTCTCAAAGATGGTTATTTCAGACTCTGGTTTGTGCTTGCTTGGCAAGTTTGTGACTAAAGTTACGATGTGACACTTGGGCAGCCACGTCAGGCTGTGGGCCGCAGCCTCAGCCTTTGTCTTGGCCTCAGTTCTCTGAGGAGTTGGTGCCAGAGTCTGTGAGTCAGACAGAATGAGGCAGCTCACATCTGTCATCTTCAGTGTCGGTGGTTTCGTCATTTCCTTACCTTATGCACAGCACATTACCAGGTAGGACACTGTTTCCTTGGGTTATCTGTGTAAATGATAGTTGACAGTTCTGTACTTAGTGTACTGTATAGAGGTAGCTGCCATTTCCAACATCTAGACTTCCAGACTGGTATTTCTGAGCTAGTTTTATTTCCTTTATTTTCTTCTTTCTCATTCTCTTTCTTCTTCTATTATTATTAATTTTGCGTGTGATTTTTTTTTTGGAGGGGGGGTTTCGAGACAGGGTTTCTCTAGCTTTTTGGAGCTTGTCCTGCAATTAGCTCTTGTAGACCAGGCTGGCCTTGAACTCACAGAGATCCGCCTGCCTCTGCCTCCCTAGTGCTGGGATTAAAGGCGTGCGCCACCGCCCCCTGGCTGCCTGTGAGTGTTTTGTCTGCATGTATGTTTGTTTGCTGTGTGTGTACTTGGTACCTACAAAGACTGAGAGAAGGAATCAGATGTCCTGGAAATGAAGTTACAGGTAGGTGTGAGCTCCTATGTAGCTACTGGGAATTGAACCTGGGTCCTCTGGAAAAGCAGTCACTGCTCTTAACCGCTGAGCCATCTCTTCAGTTTCTCTTTGTTCTGTTTCTGTTGTTATTTTATTTGGAAGTTCAGAGGAAATATGTAGGAAGTTGATGGCTTTTTCAAAAGCAGGCTATTTACCAGTGTGATGTACATTGGAAATTAAGTTGAATTTTTTTGTAAACAAAGTGAGTTGTATCTGAGTCTTTGAAGTCTGTCTAGTTCAATAAGAGCAGGAAAAAAAAGAGTGAAAAATCATTTCCTTAGCTTTTACTTATTGCTTATTTTAGAGCAGTATTAATCTTTGTAATTCTTCTGAAATCGGTGCCACTGGCGACAATAAATGTGGTTTAACTTTTGGTCATTCCTTACATTTTTATGTACATGATATTACATTCATTGTTCTACATAGTTTTCACATTAGAAATGTTTAGTTGCTGCAGATGTTTGAAGCAGCAGTTCTGTAATTCCTTATAAAGTCGGGAGTGAGGGATGCAGACCGGGTCAGATGGAGATGGCATCTAGCTTCTGAGTCACATACGTGCCTACAGAATAGACCAGCTTGCTCAAGAGCTTTTCTACAAGAATGGGTTGCAAATGCTCTGCAGCCTTCTGATTTAGAAGAACGTGACAGAGCTAGTTGTGCTCATGCCTGTGATCCAGTTCTCAGGAGACTTGAGTCTGAGGCTAGAACTGGCTGCAATGTAAGTTCTAGGCCTGTCTAACATGCACTGGGAGACCATCTCCCACAAAAACAGAGAAAGAGGAGAAAAAGAAGAGCCTGGGCAGTAAATATGTAAGGCTTCCTTCAGCATGAAAATGTCTGTCCATTTAGAGTTTTTTGTTTTGTTTTGTTTTGTTTATTTTTTTCGAGACAGAGTTTCTCTGTAGCTTTGGAGCCTGTCTTGAAACTAGCTCTTGTGTTAGACTCTAGTGTCCAAACCGAGAAGGAGTTGCCCCCAGAGACCACCTCATATACCACAGCCGATGCAAAAGCATGAGGATTTTATTAATTCTATCATGACGGGGTTCCTCAGCATTCAGGAAACCGAGAAACCCCGACTAGCTGGTACAGTCTACTTTTAAAGGAGAAGGCCCCATAGAAACAAGAGGGGTTGTTCCTTGATCATTATGATTGGCTTATTTGAAAAGGGCTAATATTAATAATTGGCTGGAGAGCTATTGTCACATCAGATGAGGTAAGAGGTCGTTTTGACCCCGTTTCCCAGGGGGCTGAGTCAAAACATACGTGTACGGGTAATTGTTCAGGAACTGAGTACGTGCATGTGTAGCTGTTAGGTCCTTGGTTCCCAGGGGAGGAGGGGAAGCACTGAGGCACAGAGGCTGAGAGGGTTTGGAATTGTCAAAAATGGCTTCAGAATTGTCTTAAAGTCTTACATTCCCTCCTCTTATTTGGTCATATATCTCAATCTTGAGATATTAGTAAATTTGGGGAACTAGTTGGATCTGTACATAGAAATTAACAAACCTGTGTTGTAGGCCCATCATAGATCAATAGAGGGCCCCAGGCCCTGTTGTCCTGGGACTTGTGAGAGTTAGGTTTGTCCCCAATTGCAGGACATATGAGAGCTGATGTGGTTGAAACTGCCAGATGAGGCTATTTTCTCATAATAGGGAGGTCCTGCTGACAGGCATAGCCAGCAAAATTGTGTCAAGCTGGGGTCAGTACTATTTAGCAAAGAAAAGGCTCCTATTATCAGACTAAACAGTTGCTGGCCTGTATTAGAGGTTGCCAGCAATGAAGCAGGGGTTGCAGAAGAGTTCTTAGCACTAGGAGTGGGGCCCAGGGCCCTGGCAAAGGGGGCTACCTCAGCAGGGGCTAGCTGGCCCTGGTCAGGTAACATTGGGTTGGGCCCTAGTATCATGGCCATGGGAGGTGTTACAACAACTCGCAGGGTGAGCAAAATTCCTATGTCTTTCCTTCCTGGATCACACAACTGTAAACCCCAAGTATTGCCTGTTAACCATTTAGTTCTTTTTTTCTCCTCAGTGAAAGTGATTGTGATTTCAGATTTTTCTGGCTGAAAAAGACTAAGTCCTTTTTGCTAACCTCCAACCAGGGGACATTGACATTGGTTTTACATCCCCAGACAGCATAACAAAATATTTTAGGCCCCCCCCATACTACAGAGTTTGCTTTTTCCCCCCAGACAAATAAATCATTTAGAATATTTGCATGCAGAACAAGAGTTTCCAGGGGTTTGCTCAGTATCCTCCCAAGAGTCTTTTGCTAAAACACATAGGTCAAAAGTTAGCTGGGGGAACCAGGTATTCAGGGGATGAACTCCAGTGGCTAGGCTTAAGGCTTGCCCAGTCTCAAAGTTAGTCAGGGTCCAGGTTAAGTCCTAAGGTATAAACATCAGGGCAAAGATCAGCAAGCCTGGCAGAATCAGGCCTCCTTGAGAGGATTTTGGGTACACTGAAACTTTTATTTGGAAGATCCTGGGTAGTCCTGTGGAGGTGCAGGTTTGTCGTGAGATGCGTGGATCCAGGCTGCAATACCGTCCACTTTGAGGGCAGTAGGTGTTGTAAGAAGCATGGTGTAGGGGCCCTTCTAGCGAGGTTCAAGGTTCTGGAACCATTGTCTCCAAACGTACATAAAATCGCCAACCTGGCATGGGTGTGAGATTTCCAGGTGCCCAGGCTGGAAAAGAGAAGCAGGGAGAGTAGCTTAGTCCAGCGGGCAACAGCAGGACTAATTAGGGCCCCTTTAGGGGGGTCTAGTCCTGCCGGCAGCAGCAGGCCCTGGTCAGATAGTACTTGGTTTTTGATAACATCTCATGTCCCAAGTCCTTTCTGACACCCATGGAGACAGTCCCATTGCTCGCCTCTGGGAGGCAAGTGGGGGAGATGTCACAGGTCCCTGTGTTCCACATGGAGCATTGTTTTGGGGAAGTATAAAAATCTAGCTCTCCCAGGTGGCATCTGTGTTCTAGACCCCAGCACCTGAATATTTTCTTTAGGGGAAAATCTTGTGCCAGCCTCCAGGGGCAGCTGTGGGGGATATGCATCTCGGATATTCCAGGAGGCTAGCCCTGCTACTAATTGACAGAAATCAGGGGTGAGGGCAGGGGTATCAAAGCAAGGGCTTGAGGAGACGTGGATTGCAGGTATGAGCGGGCAGCTGCTGTTTTGGCTGTGGGGTGCTGTGCTTCATGTCCCTCCAGATACATCCCAGGCATCAATTCTGGAACGAGTGCGAGATTTTCGAGTGTCAGGGCGGCCAGGAGTCTCTATGCCTGGGCTTGGAGATCTGGAGAGCCTTCAACTGCACCTGCAGAATGGGTTTGTGAGCAGATGGGTCATGAGGGGCCTTAGGAA